TCGTTACCTACCTTTATTAAATTAGTCTCTCCCAACCTTAATTACTTTAAATACACATAAAAGCCTTTAATAACTCTTCCACTTAATTGAAACATGTGAAGAACACATGATCTATACTTGAAAGTTAATAAATCAACGGAAATGGTAACAATATTAGTTAACAAATAGTTTTTACAAAAATCTTAAAAATGATTTTTTAAATTAATTAGTATAATTTAATATGATTAAAGAATAATTACTTGGTTATTGGAATATCATAAATCAAATTTAACATCAGTTTTATATATTTGGTTCTAGTAGTTATTTTTGTTTATTATTAATATAAACTTTGATCAAGTAATTGGTATTTTTGATTATAATTTTTTTGTCATAATTTTTTCTTCATGAATATCACTTTTAGAATTCTCTATAACTTTGTTCTTATCTCAAATTTCACTTTTGTTCTTATTATCATCAGAATTTAAGATTAACTCTAAAGCAATTTCATGTTAGCTATTTTCTTTTTTTGTTAACTTTGAGATCTGAAGAAGCTGTATATAATTTTTATATTAATCAGAATTGTATAGTATTAAACAATTATAACAGAGATTAATATTAATATATTCTAATTAAACTAGTTTTAATCATTATTTACAAGTTAATTACTAATATATGAATATAAAGATTTTGACAACAAAAGCTTTTTTAGATTTATCATAGTTAATATAGTTTACTTTTTCCTTTTTTAAGTTATATGTAAAAATATATTAAGATAATATAGTCTTCTAATCTTATTGCATTTCTGATATACTGATACTAAGCTTCTCATCTTGCATAGCTTTTAAATTGTTCCATTATTTTTATCTTATTCTTTATTATTGAATATATAGATATATTATTCATAATAAATACAAAAATATTTAGTTATCTCTTATTCTTCTATATTATATATCTCAGCAGCAAGAATATAATAACTGTATTGAGTGCAAACTAACTAATTTTTCTTCTGTAATATATTTTATACAATATAAATTCTTAGTTTAATCTTGTTTAAATACTGTTCTTACCATTGATTCATTCATATTGTTGCAAGTAGATCGTAATTAGGCATAATCAATGATTTTACCTACAACGATGAGTGAGAGAGAGTGATTAAACTGATTGATATTTGTTGATGTCTAATTTCTGTACTGATATCTACGGATATCGTTATGAGAGAATGGGAAAGGAAAGAGAAAGAGAAAGAGAGAGAGATAGAGAGACTCGAATAAAAGTATTTAGGTAAGGGGAATTGGATTTTCTTTATTTTTAATTGGCAGGGGATATTCAATTAACAATGTCTATTAACAATGATTTGCTTTTTCTAGTTAAAAGTCTTAAACTATTCTATACAAAGCGTTTTATGATCGATCAATATGACGTTTTATCATTAACAATACCTTTTTTGGATCAAAGAACCTAATCATCAATCAATTAAAACAGATCCAATATCTTTACTAGGTGGTGGAAGAATTGTACGCAATTATTTCCGTTTTACAAGTGTTACTTTACTTGGAGATTAATTTGTACGCAATTTTAATTCTGTCGTTTTTTTTAGTAGCCCGTGGGTCATTCTTTTTATATATTTTTTTTATTACATATTATGATAGTGTTCTAGTTCTATCTACGTTGATATTTTTGTTGAAAGTAAAATTATGTTAAAAATAAAATTAAAAATGACTATGGGTGGGAAACAAAAGCGAAAAGCAAAAAGCAAAAATGAAAAGCAAATTGTAAAGAAAAATTATTATCATTATCAAAAAGATGAATTTGTGAGTGAGAGACAGTTGATTGACAAAAGCAAGAGCAAAAATCAAATAGTAAACAAAAGTGAAAAATGGATGAAGAAACAACAGCGAAAAATGGAGAAAAAGCAAATTACTATTATGAAAATAAAAAAAACAGGAGTGGATCTAATTTAAGAAATGCAGAACATTACACAGAGAGGCTCGGATAGGTGAAGTAAATGTTGAAATCGAGATGAACGAGCCTCTCTGGAAATCATGAGATCGATGAAATTTGTTATCTCCCGGTAACAATACGCTCAGAACTGTCACTATAAATTTATTAAAAGTTTTTAAAAATATCAAGCTCTGATTGTTTCCGTACATACTTACAGCAGGTGACCGAACACTATAATCTTTGAACTATAATTTTTTTATCAACTAGTGATTAGAATTTAGTGATTTTTAGTGCATTGCAATTGGATTTGTCTTCCAGAGGATAATCATTTTATACAGAACCACTAATATCGATATTGGCCGAGTTAAAGTTATCGTTATTGTGTTCGGTGACTTCTGGTCACTCTCTGTATTTATTAGTTATATTAAAAGTTTGAAGTTGTTATAATATCTAAACTCAAAGAAATTACCTGTTTCATTTTTAAAATACGACTTGTATACGTAAACTGTTTTGTTATTTATTAATCTGGTATATTTACCAAATTTTAATTCAAAGAAATTTTCTAAGAATTGAAGCAAGAAAAAAATGCAATTTTATACCTTTTATTCTTCCTGCATTTGTGTTTAATGAACAGTATTCTTTGAACTTTTGCACTAACATTTTTTTGTTACGAGTTTGCACCTTGAGTTTGGAACCGGTTTTAAGTATTAAAAATAAAAGCGGTTCCAAACTCTAGCGCTAGCTGGTTTCAAATAAAGTTACATACAGTAGTAATTTTATTGAAATCATTTTTCCTGTATTGCGCTATATAACATTTTAATTCAGAGTTGTCCATTGGATATAATCCAATGATAACATTTTTAATCACACCCAACTGCTTAGAATAATAAGAATTTCACAATGTTGAAATACTATCGATAATGATTCTAGATTACTGGTTGTAGTATTAATTTAAAATACATGTGCGAATTACAAACGACTAATAAAAAACAAAAAATCGTTCAAGAAAATGTCCTTTATGCAATTGATATTTTATCTATCCTTCAATCTACGGAAATAAATTATTTTACGCAATAAGTGACCTTTCTTCAGCAGCTTTAACAACACTAAAGAACACAATCGATTAATTTATCAATTAGAGATCTTTTCAAACAATATAAGAAAAAAATTGAACAAAACAAAAGCAACATTACCGTAAAAACACATCCTCTAACGAGCTTTGCGTAATAGAATAATCCTGAATTCCCCAAGTGGTCTTATTCTGTTCAATCTCTTTAAAGAGCGTCGAAAGAGTCCCTTGCTCTGTGCCAAATTGGTATGTGGCCGTCGTGTGAAATTTCTCAATTTGATTATAGTAAGGGAGAAGTGCGATTATTCGGTCGCATGCGTGGTCGAGACTGGCGGTTGCGATCACATTGAAGGAAATTTGGTAGCCTGTCCCATGTTTTTGTTTTAAGTGTAGTGGAGACTGTGTGTTTCATAGAATAGATGAAATGTATACATTTTACGAGATTTATTAGTTTCGGCTTAGAATAAGAACCAAAATTATTTAGTTGTCGAATTCCAACTTACTCCGAGACATCGCAAATGTCCATCAGCCATAATTCCAAGTTTATCACATAACGCGTCTGCTTCTTCCATCTACGCAAGAATGAATTCACTTCATAAATACCAAGCATATTCAAAAATAAAGCTCCAAATTGACAACTACAATGAAAAGCAAAATTACCGAATGCGTTGTCAAAATTATAGTTTTCCCTTTTTTTGCCTCCGTGATAATGCTCCAGATTGTACGACGAACATCCGGATCTAGACCAGTCTAAATAAAACGAAATTAGAATACTTTTTTTACATTAGCCAAAACATCCAGTATAATTAATTAGAAAACATACTGTTGGCTCATCAAGAAACACCACTTTACTATCTCCAGTCAACGCGATAGCGATTGACAGCCGTCGTTTCTCACCACCGCTTAAACTCTAATTTCAATAAAGAATTAATAAAAATACAAAGCAAAGCAAAAAGAAAGCCTGATTTTTACTTTAACAAGCCTATTTTGGAATTCAGTCAATCGGACAAGATTCAATGTGTGATTAATGGCTTTCGTTTCTAAGTGTGGTTCGATGCCTCGTAATCGTGCGTAAAATAGTAAATGTTCTTTGATTGTCTTTCATTGCAAACATGACAGAATAGTTAGTGAATTGGCTTCAGGAAACAATCAATCGAAAATTAAGAATTATACCAAGTCTGGCCATAGTAAATCATTCTGTGGACAAACACCTATACAAAAATCAGATAATTAAAACTTATAATCCACCATTTACGAAAACCCAAGATTAAGAAATTAAATACCAATTTTCGTATAAACTTTTGCCATGTCTGATCTAATATCAATTCCGTCAATATAAACTGAACCTAAACAAATGCAAAAAAAATATTTAATAAAACTTTGATTAAGTTGAGAGCTGTTTTATTATGTAAAATAAAATAAAAACCTGAAGTCTGCGGATACAGTCCCGTCATAATATGAATAGTGCTAGTTTTCCCGGCACCATTCGGACCAAGTAATCCAAAAACTACATTTTCCTTTTTTATGACAAGAAAGTTATAAACCAATTCAAATAAAGTCAAAAAAGATCAACAAAATATTAACCTCGACAGCAAAGGTAAGGTTATCAACGGCCAACTTGCCACCCGGATAAACTTTCACCAACTCTTCCAGTACAAGATTAGTGGATTCGATGGGATAATTTTCACTTAGCACGCGTAATCTTTCTGCTTTTACATCATCGTCTCCCATCTGTCATTTGTTTGGGAATTAATTTTAATTCTAAGAAATTCACAAAAGTATTAATATAATTAATGAGTACCGTATCGCCCAATGCCTGCTCCAACAGTACACTTTGTGTTGTTTTGCGCCTGTTTCTTCGATTTTTTCTTAATGTCTGATTCAGACGATACTTCTCGAATGGCTCGGTGATGAAGAAAAAGTATCCTTTTTGTGTTCCATATTCACTTGGTAATACTGATTGAAAGTATCTAAAGAATAAGAACGAAATTAAATCATCAAATACAGCAGTAAAAACATCAAACTTATAAACACAAAAAAAACTCACAAACTCAAAATTATCATCAAAACCGTCTCACCGATCAATACCATCATAATCACGAATAATTCGTCGTTTGTCTGAAGTGAAGATAATTCGTATGGCTAAAAAAAATGGTTTATCAGATAATTTGAATGCTCCAAATGCTAGACCAAAAAGTGAAACTGTTTGATTGTATTTACTCGTAGGTTACCAATTAACGACGCAGCGTCCGTGATTCTTCGTATTCCTTCATAGAACGCGAATGAAGGGTGTATGTACCAGATACGTGGAGGATGAGGGTTGCCAAATATGAAATCTATTAAAATGTCATTTTAGTGGTTTTTTTTTTAATAACAATTAATGAAAATACTTACAAGTTAATCCGCTTATAATTCCCGAAAGAATAATAAACACGTATACAAAAACTACATAAAATAGTTGCGTCAATCTTTGTAATCATTGAATAAAAAGCATAAAATTTCGACAAAATAAAATCATACTTAAAGCTCGTTTCATCTTTGAGAAAAACACACTTATCAAAAACGACATTGCCACTTGAACGTGACACCAAATTGACAATAGTCCAATAAGTATAAGTGGGTCGGTACGTGTAAAGAATGTATACTATGTTAATATCCAAATAAATCAGTATTCGATTCATTCTTAACTTGAGAGCGAATAATAAAGAAATAGCTGACTCTACCTTGAATGCATACCCAGCGACATAAAACACGATACAATTAACGAACATTAGTAAATAAAATTCCAGATAATGGTTAACGAAATGTGCGAAATTGTTTAGTCCGCTCTATATAAAGAGCATAATGTTAAAAATATGAAACAAATAAAAGTTGATGGGAATTTATATCAATTCATACCATTTTCATCATAATAAAAACACGTTCTTCTTTTTCGCGTACGAGCATAATCACAGCAATTGGCAGAATGGCAGAAACAGCTAGAAAAAATTGTCGAAAACGGAATTATTTAATTACAAGCAAAAACGAATTGAAAGTACCGAGAATGGCTCGTGATTTTACCATAAGAGTAAAATGCAGATCCAACTATTGCAGTAACATCTCGTTTGTTTTCTGCCATGGAGAATTGTCGCGGCATTGCCTTTTTTGTAAGAAATAATATAACATTGTCTTAGTGATTTATTAATTTGTAACCAATTAAAAAAAAATACAAGCTTTACCTGTAATTTATGAACAATTTCTAATTTTCCTGCTCCTATTCAAAAGAAATTCAAATTAAACAAATTCAATTCGAAGTAAATAAATCCAATATCACTAACCTAAAGCATTCGACAACTGATTAGCAGCAATTAAACGTCGAAATCCAGCACTAATCAATGTAAATCATTTAAAATGAAATTCCAAACACAAAAAAATCAACACATCTTTACATACCTCGGATATTTGGAAAACAGCTGGATAATGGTATCCATAGTAAACTTTGTGTCGCTCTTATTCGCAATATTCAATACGCCTGGTAATTGAGCTGCAAGCACTTGAAGTGCTATTGGTACATTACCATATTGTAAAGTATACGACATTTGACTCCGTGCTCTGTCGATGTTGTCGAAATAAAGTATACCGTGGGGAGGTGGTAATGTACTTTGGTCGATTTGGAACGATGTATTCTTTAAAACCATGTCTTTGAAGTCTTCGAAAATGCTTTATATGTATATATATATTGGATATAATAAGAATTTACAAGAAAATATCTTATAAAGATAGTAAAATAAAAAGTACCTATTGAAATTAGAGACTAAAATTTTCTCAGCTAATGCCCGAGGAGAGCGAATAAAAATACCAGTATCTGCATAATAGGTAAGAGAATTTCCAGGAGAAATTTTACTCAAAATTCCTTTTAAACTTGATAACTGTGTCGAATTGTCCAATGGTAATTGGAAATATTGATCTGGAATTCCCTTCAAAAAATCACTACCTATTATCAATCCAAGAGTATATATTAATGTTAGTTAATATCAATTTTTATCTTTACATTTCTTTTACTTACTTTCCTTCCTTGTAAACCTAATTGTAGTTTGATTCAACAGTGTGAGTAGAGATGTATTGGATGGATCGTCATTAAGGGTACTGTTTATGTCTTGAACTCCTTCATCGGTTACCACGTATCCCCAAGGAAAAGTTTGTGTTGATATATTGTACAAGATTGTATCGTTTGTAGGATAAATTGATCGGATATTAAAATTATTCCAGCCACCATTAGGTTTTGGTAAATATGTCCTGTAATAATAATTATTTTATTAGAAATTGGTAATACTTGTAAATAAAAATAGATCAAAAATCGAATATTTACGTGTCATGTTTGGCATAATCAAAATCACCAGCAGCACTACCAGGATTTCTACAAAAAAAAAGAGCGAAAAAAGAATTCAAAATATCACTTACAATTACTAATACATTTTTTTTATATATTATATACATACATAAAATACGGACTCTCAAAAGTATAATTATTAGACTCTCCCACGAAAACGTTAGCACATTCAAGAGGATTATTAACCTGACGCGTATTCAAGTCCAAAAACGGATCTTTAAGAATAGATGGTCGAACAGCATCATATATAATGGGATTTTTCTCTTTATCCAATTCGTCCGGGGATCGCTTTAGACGTGGTATATTGCCCCACGTTGTATCCATAAATTGATTGGAATTCGAGCAAAAGACGATACTTTGTTGGTTTGAATCGTTATTATCATTAATAGTCGGATTGATTACGACGATTATGCATTGCATGATTATTAACAGTATTAGAGGCATGACTACGACACATATTAAATTTATTTTCCAGTTTCGTATGGTTTGTGTTAGTGTTAGGCGAGACTATAAATTGAAATTATTAGTTAACTATTAATTTTCATAGAATTCAATTTTTGATTATTGTTAGAAATTAAGTGTTCACCAAAGCACGAAACTGTCTTGAGGTTTTTATCGCACTTTCATAATCAAATGTCGAATCTGGTTTGTTAATACTACTCCTACTACTACTACTACCATTATTGTTGCTATTATTATCATCACGACCACCAAAATAATCTACATCTCTAACACCATTCTCAAAATCAATAGTATGCCACTGCTTATTATCATAGTCAACGTGATAATTCAACGAGGACGACGGTGGATTTACAGAAAAACTGTAAACTGCTGTTATATCTCCAGGATTAGCTGCAGTATTAAAATTGTTATTACTTCTACGTATTGTTTCTCTCTCTTGTTCAGCGCTTAGTCCAATCCCGTAATAACTATCTGGTGAATGTGGGGGTGTTGGTGGCATTTTATTTGTGTGTGTATTTTCTCTCTCTATTTCTCTATATGTGTGCGACAAAAATTCGTTTTTTATTATCGATTTCTATGATTATTATTGATTAATTCACGAATTGACAAACTATCAAAAAAAAAGAAAAAACAAGACGTAAAGAAAGATTCGTGCCTTTTTGGCAGTAATGATCTTAGTGGAAGACGATCGGGATCGCTATGAACCTAAAAAATCCTCCGATAATTTGTCGGTACTCAATTGCCAAATTTGGAATCATAAATACATGTATTTCGAAGAATTTGAAATCTGTGTTTAGATTTTCATATTACCGTTATATGTAATATACTAATATTACCACATGTGCACGCACGCCAAAGAATAAAAAACTAAAAGTGAAACATTCAATTAATTTAATTGCCCTTTTTATGCTCGGATCGCAATGTGGTTTTTAGTTTTCGAGTTATGATGATTTGAATTCTTATTCAGTGACATGATGACGACATACGTAGCTTAAAATGGTCCGTAAAATGTCATTAATCACATTTTGCTTTTCGCTCTTTTCGCTCTTTTCTAATTTTCTCTCTTTGAAAGATTTTGAAATACTATCGTTTTTCGCAATTGCGTAATGTAATTTAGTGTGTATATGTATAACGTCGTGTGGTCTTTTGTTTTTTCGCTCATTTCTTTTTGGTTTTTTTCCCTTATATTCGTTTTACATGCAAAAACAAATAGAATAAATAGATTCTAATTTATGTTTTGTTTATTTTTTGCCTCTCTCCATCTCTCTTATACAAATTTACTTTGACATAAACATCATTAATAGTCTGATTTAATTTAATTTATGAGACGTTGACGTCTCTCTTTTTCTTTGGCGATATTAAAATCGCCTTCATTCATATTTTTCTTCGTATTCACAATAGAATTATAATGGGAAAGTAATAATAGTTATCTTCTGCGAAAAAGAAAACAAAGAGAAAAAAACAAAAGATACGGATACGGTATTTTAATTGTAACGAAAGAGTTATTGCAACCAACATCAAACAAATCTCACGACACGACGCGAAATCTAAAAAGATGGATTCACTAAACAATCAATTTAGTTACACTCCAAACCCCACAAATAACAATGAACCAAGCATAACAAGTACATACACTCCCATAACAAAACGTCAAGCTATTTACAACAATAGCAGTGACATCTCATTAACACCATCTCAATTGCCGCCACCAAGGCCACTAAGACGTCCAACAATTAGTGAAATATACAGAGGTTACGGAATGGAATTAAATAGTAAAGCACAAGCAGGGTTAGAGAAACAACAAGAAAAAGATCGAAAGGACGAGTTGAAGCGAGAGAAAAATGAGTCGTTGCAGTCTTTGTCGATGAACCCTGATGGGTTATTTGGCCGTAGAGGTGATTTTGGACAGCAGATGAAGACAATGTTGAGACATCATTTTATTCTTCAGGTAGTTATCAATTTAAAACGTAAATTTACAATTGATTATAATAAGATTAAGGTTAATAAACATTTGTTGTAATCTCAATAGAAACGTTCCTTTTGTTCTATTTTCGCTTTTACGGTACTCGCTCCGCTCGTTGTACTTTTACTAATGCTCGGAATTCAACGATCGTCAGACTATAGTTCAAAACTTGACGAAGTATTTCGGTATCTAAATTTATCTCTAGAAGAGTTGAGAACTAGTAGTCTGATTATCACAGATGGTAATGCACCTACTTGGGATTTGCCAGGATTATATCAATGCGTGGTAAGTATTAGTTGTATAGTGTTAAATTATTCAATTGCCATTAATAATTACTAATGATTATTTTGTTATTTAGCCACCACAAGCAGAGAAAACAAAATGTATTACATTGTTATATGCACCAAATGATCCAATAACTTCCAATATTATGAATGTATTTGTAAAAAAGAATAGTGATCGAACAGGCGAAACTTTAAGCTTGAGTGATGATTCATTGTCTAATCTATGTAAGTAATAGAAATTGAAATTAAATATATTTATACATATAATCATCTCAATAAATTAATATATCTTTTAAAGACGAACCATCAAGTAATCTCGGAATTGTGCCAACAAACAGCAGCGACTTCATTTACAACTACACACTCCAAAATCCCAAAGTTGCGCAATACGCTGTCTCATTCCACTACCCATCCTCAACGCAAATAGAATACACAATCTGGTACAACTTTACCGCAGCCGCAAATTCCAGCGCCGATGACGCTTCAGTATCCGAAATCAGCAATAATCTCGATTTCGGATCGAAAAAAGTCAAACCTCAAACCAGCATTGACTCTCTAAAAATTGATCAATACGGAAACGAGTTATTAACAATCATGCGTGGAATCGACGAGGCCATTTTCGCGGCACAAACCGATGCTTCGGATGCCAAAATTGATATAAAAATAAAGGAGTTTCCAAATATGCTGATACAGACTACTACTCCACCAGAAAATCCTAATGATAAGATTAATGGAGATGTGTTTCGAACTAGTGGAATGTTTTTGGCGTTGCCTGCTCTGCTTGTTTTTGTTATTATTGCTGTGCTAGAGGTTATTACTGAGAAAGAGCTTGGCCAAAGGGGATGGATGGAAATGATGCAAGTATTTTTTTTGTTAATTTATCTAGACAGTTTTATATTGACTTTAATTTTTATTTATTAGGGGTCTTCGCGCAAGTGTTTACTGGCTTGCACATTTTATCAGCGCTTCTTACATCACATTCTTTCAAACTTTGGTCTTGTGTAGTATGGGGTGGCTTTTTAACTTCCCGTATTTCCGAAATACAGATTTCTTGGTAAATATTTATTTATTTATAATTATTCAGATCGAAAGAAAATAATATTTTTTCAAATTGTTTACCATTCAATATTTCTATTAGATAAACCTAATCATGTTTAATCTTTTCGCATGGGCAATGCTCTCACTGGGATACTTTCTCACGACGATTTGTAACCGTGCTCGTACAGCTAATATCCTTATGTGATAAACACCACTTATTTTATATAACATTTCGAGAAAACTAATGAATTAATTTCCTTAACTTTATACTATTGACTGTCTTTTTTTACTTGGCTTAGCATTTGTAATATCGTTAGTCACATTCATATATCAAACAATTGGGACGAGATACTGGGCAACATGGTACGGAAAGACACAAAAAGGATGGATTATTGGATTGTTTTTACCGTTTTTCCAATTTTCTGGTATAGATTTCTATATTTCACAATGTCAGTCCATGATTAAGTAAGCAAAATAATCAACCTGTTTTTTACCTCAAGAACTATATACCCAAATCGCCGAAAAATCAACCGATGGCGCAAGCGATCTATTCAATCCATTCGATCCATCAGCAACCAACGCCACAAGACTTGCGAAATCGTTCAACTGGACTTCACTGTCTGAATACGCATCGAACGATGGACTAGGGAACAAGATTATTATCGATGATAATCCCGCACTTCCGAAACCGTATCACGCGTTAATGTTTCTCGCGTTCCAGATTGTGTTTTATGCAATGTTAGTATTTATTGTGGATCAGGGACCGGGTCTGTTGGCGAAATATCGGTTGAAAAAAAAGATTTTAGATGAGTGTGAACGTGAAAGACACGTCATTGTTGATCTTAATGATAGTGAGGTATGTTCATTAATTAATTGGAAATATTTTTTTTAATAAAGTCTTGTTGGATTTGATGGTGTCTTTAATTATTAATTTCTTTGGATATAACAGAAAAGAGATTTTACACTTGACGATATGGATTCAGATCTTTTGGAAGAACGAAATCGTGCTCAAGATATGAATAGACGATGTAAATACATTTAATTTATTTCGATCTTTAATTCAAAATAAACTAAAATTTATATTTTATTTTATTATTACAAAGTTGGGCTACGAATAGTAAGACTTGTGAAAGAGTTCAAAGGAAAATTCCTATCCAATCAAAAAGAACGAAAGGTTGCGGTTAATGCATTGTATTTAGCTATTGAGGAAGGACAATTGTAAGCACATCCCAAAATCGAAATTTCGTTATTATTATATCCATGCGTCATTAAAATATACAACTACAAAAATATACAGATTCGCACTATTGGGTCAAAACGGCGCCGGAAAAACAACCACAATATCAATGCTCGCCGGCCATCTAGTACCCACGTCTGGCTCGGCATTTATCTATGACAAAAACATACTCACAGACATGACATTAATTCGCACATCGATGGGCATTTGTCCACAGGATGACCTCTTGTTTAACGACTTAACATGCCGCGAACATATTGAGTTGTTCTCGGGAATCAAAGGGCTATTGTGCACTGATGTCTTGATGGAAGAGTTGTTGGCCAAAGTCGATTTGGTGAATGCTAAAAATTTGTTGACGCGCAAGTTGAGCGGTGGGATGAAACGACGGTTAAGTGTTGTTATTGCTTCGATTGGGGATCCAAAGAGTATGTTTTGTTGTTGAAATAACGGATTATTTTTTTTGATCATAGTCATTAATTGTGATTATGTTTTTGAATTTGTGCATTTTTTATTCGTATAGTTATGATTTTAGATGAGCCGACGACTGGTATGGACCCTGTGAATAGACGTAAAGTCTGGTCATTTTTGTCTGAATATAAAAAGGGTCGAATCATGTAAGTCTTTAGTCATTTTTAAATTCATATTCAAAAATTTCCAATTTATTCATCGAAAAATTCAATTAGACTATTGACTACACATTCAATGGAAGAGGCAGATTTACTTGGAGATCGAATTGCTATTATGAGTAGAGGCAAAATACGGTGAGAATAATAAATTGGATTGCTATTGTTTTTTAATTCGTTTTTTTAACATAATGTAATAACAATAGGGCAATTGGAAATTCAACACACTTAAAGACAAAGGTGAATAATTTTTTTATTCTTCTGTAATACTTTAATTTAAACAAGTTAATTTTTGATTTTGATAATAAATTATAAACAGCGTGGAAACGGCTATACAATCCAAATACAAACCAATCAAAGCAACATGGTCTTTACACAAATTCGCGTCGCAAAACTAGTCCCCCTCGCAACGCTTCAAGACGAAAGCGCCGGTTCACTAATCTACCAGATTCCGCCCGAGGCGTTATCCGAGATTTCGAGTTTGGTCGATTGGCTGGAAGAGAATCCGGATGGTATGATTAGCGGGTGGGGAATTATGAATACAACGTTGGAGGATGTGTTTCTTAATGTTTCGAGAGCTTGTAATGACGTGGATGGTAGTAATAGAAATTCTGAAAGTGAACAAAATGGGCCGATGAGACGAAAGAGTGTGGCTGCTTCACACTTTTCGGTATCGTCTTCTTTGTTTGGGTCAAAACAGTATCAATGGTCGAGTGTTGGGATAACAGATTCTCTTATACAAAAATATCAAACAATTGTCACCAGTAAATCTGGTTTTTCTGAGGCTCAGCGGCCGAATAGTGGGATAACAGATGTTGATGATCAAATACTACCAATACCTTCTAATTCTATGCTACAAAAATATCAAGCAAGTGTCGCCAGTAACTCACGAAAAAGTGTTTCATTTGTTGACGACAACTCGTCCTCATCAGAAATACAATTACAGTTGTCAAAATTGAAATGTCAAACTCGTGATAGTTCTAACATTCAGACATCAACATTATCCAAAGCACAATCATTGAACGTTGTTCCGATCGGACTTCAGCAAATTAATGACAACAACGACAAATACACTACTGACAATAAAAGTGAGAATATTTCGTTGATAAACTCGCATCGTAATTTGGTTGTTGCTAGTCGGGATAATACGCAAGATTTAGATATCAATTTGAACGATTTGCTGCCACCACAAATACGAACCATTGTTTCCAAACAAATATTAGATCAAAAAAAGAAAAATGGAGAAATCAACAAAGAAAAGGAACAAAGAAAAGCGAACGAAAGTGGTGATCGAAATATGGATGAAAAGCAAATTATCATTAGTCAAAATGAGTTTGCTGAAACTATTATAGAGAATAATAGTGGCGATACTAATAATACGTCGTCGGGTGCAACTTGTGATCGGAATAACCTTCCAAAACAGCGATACAAAGATGCACAAACTGGTTCATATGAAGAACACGAAACAGATAAAGCGGCTGAGGATCTCAGTAGTAGTACTGATAGTAGGACAAATAGTAAATTTTCATGTGGTGAAGAATTTGTTCGACAACAACAGCAAAATTATTCGTCTCCATTATCATCTTCCATTTCGAGACCTCATCATCAACGTAACGAATCTATCAGAATATTATCACTTGAGGAATCTCCGCAGCAAAATTCGTCATTTTCACGTCCGCAGATCGAGATGGCATCATCGTTACAGCAAAGTCTACGACTTGAAAATGAAAACGAAAATAACGAAAACCGCCAACGTGTATATTTTGAAGGAAAAGAAGATGATTCACGGGTTAAAAATGAAAAAGAAAGCGCGTCTTTTTCGTTGAAAGAGGAATCTTCTACGCAGCTTCGAATTATTGTAACCGAAGAAAGTTTAACTTTTAATAATGATAATAATAATAATGTTAATAGTAATGAGAATAATATTAACAAGGTTCATCGTAGCATGATTCGTATGTCGTCGTCTGAGACTCATGCATTATAGTCAGAAATAAATGATTTTAATAATACTTTGTTCTTTGTTTATTTATGGGACTTGGTTTTTGGTAATAAAATTCTTACCTTATCGTTATATACATGTATCATCAATGATTTAAATTGAAAGTCATTGTAACACATATATCATCCACGTATATCGGTATACGTAAGACGTATCGTGACATAAAAGAAATTATCGATATGTACGATTTACCTAATTTACTAAATGCTCATAACGATAATGAAAAAAACGATGTGCCATTATTACTGATTTTGTTTTTGACAAACGAAAAGGGCATTAATACATGTACTATGACAATTTATACAGTTACACTAGTTTAGCACCTAATACATCATGTGATATTAGGACCCTCCGAGTGTGAAACTGGTCCTAAAGTAGTTGGGAACATGATAAAGTTTATACATGTACAGTACCCCCAAAAAGTAACGCCCGATTTGGATGTGCAACATCAACATAAATTTAAATGTGGCGGTTTTCCCTTTTTTGTTATTGTTGACTGCAAATTTTTTTTCATTTCTTTCTTCGACTTTTGAACATACACTGGGCGAGATTTTTTTGGCTGTAAATATAACACACACCGCCTCCAGTTGACCGACTTTGACAAGGGTAAAATGGGTAATTTGGATCGGGTTTTGAGTGCCGTACAAGTTGCAAGAAAAATGATCCGTGACTCGATGACGGGATAATGGTCTCTTGCCGAATAC